CTCTCTGGATCCATCCATCGATTGAGTGCATCTGAACTTGAAAAAAATAAAATATTGGCTTTCATAAAGGTTGCGTCGTTTTCGTGCACATCAATGAGCTCACGTTTTCCCATTGTGCTAAAAGCATTAATATTTGAATATACATTTATTGCGCTGAACTCACACCTATCAAAGTCATTCATGACTTGAAGAAGCTGATCAGAATTGCACTTTGCTATCTTGTAATTTTTAAGCTCCTCATATGCTTGTTGAAAATATTTACTGGCTTCTATTTTTAATTCCTTTTCATATTCTGCTATTTTTTTTGATAATTCTGATTGAGGATCTGACAAGATAGTTTGTAGACGATTTTCATTTTCTAGAACGCAACTTTTGACATATTCAGGGGATTGGAAATCTTTAAGAGTCACAAGCATCGTACAGAAATTATTTAAAATGTTATTATCTAGCTGTTTGTAAAGTTTTTCAACTTTTATGTCCAGAAATTGGGTGATAGGTACAAGCACAAACCGAAGGGGAACACCTGTGATATTTGGATCAAGGAATTCGAAATGCCTTTCTTTTGATATTTGCATGTCCACTTTCTCTATCGAATTAAACATTTGGCTTATAGTTGATGGTTGTTGATGTATTTGTGGTCTTGAATGAATAGTGATTAGCTTTTTGACATTTTCCGAATCCAAGGTTTCAAGGCTGGCCTTCAAAGAAGCACTCACCAAACCACATGACAGTTTTCCAAGATAGCCATCTTTAATTGTCTCGTCTCTAGTTCTATCGATTTGTCTGATTCTTATATCTGCATTTACTTCAGCGCCTATAATTATACGACGTACAATATGCGTTGCTTTGATCTTATTAGTGAGAAGCTGATCTTTGACACCTTCATCTATCACGTCTTTGGTACAGGGAAGCAATTCGATGAAATAATTATCTAGATGATACTGGCATATAAGTTGTTCTTCGTTAGAATTTTTGTCAGAAGAAACAGTATATCCATCAGACCCTTCTACTTCGATAATACCAGATAATAATTCAATAGACATTGCGCCATTAGCTTTGATAGCTGAAAGTCTATCTTGAATGCTTTTTACATGGATTAAGCGATAATCAAGTTTCTTGATTGGATGAAAAATCAAGTGATCTTTGGTGAACTTTTTGGTAAATAAATTGAAGCCAGAATATTTGGAATCATGGCAATCCCAAAGGTCACCTAAACCTAAAAAAGAATTTTCGATAAAGGGAAGGATAAAAGTGGAATCCTCAATATAGGAAACATGTTTTTCCTTCATATTCTCTATTATTAAATCAATTAAAAGAAATCTTTTATTTTAAAATTTTCCAATTCGTCGAAAACTTCTGTTTAGGTTTTTATACATTATTGAGTTTATAATATCTCAATGACAAGAACCCCATGCATATAGTTTTTCAATTCAAGTTAATTATAAAACAATAAGATATAATATACAGTATTGTTTAATTTCTTTCTCATTGCATGATCATATCTGTGGGAATGCGAAAGATACCTGTTAACATATTCATACTCAATTTAGATTCATTTGGATAGGATAACGTAAAGCTGAATTGAAAAAGTGTATGTACATGTAACAGGAACCATATGAATTAACCCATATTTGTTAGTTAAATGGTGGAATTGTAGTTATATGGAGAATTCATTTCATTGCGGTGTTGGAATCATATGTACATATAACCAAAAATCATTCATTTTTACGTTCATTGTCATTGTCTGTATGTTGTTCTATTGTTGATAGAAATTCGTTGTTTGTTGGCCTGTATGAAAATTTTCTAATTCGTCGAAACTTCAGTTTAGATTTTTAGAGTTTGTAATATAGAACCCCATGCATATAGTTTTTCAATTCAAGTTAATTGTAAACAATGAGATATAATATCGATATACAGTATTGTTTAATGTCTTTCTCAGAGCATAATCATGTCTGTGGGAAAAGCGAAAGATACCTGTTAACACATTTATACTCGTTTTAGATTTCATTTGGATAGGTTATATACAGTGGCCCATTCAAATTGCCAATCATTACTTGTGTAGTTCTTAACCATGTGAGAGTGACAAACAAAAAACGAACAGATGTTAATCATTCGTAAGTCTTTTTTTTAAAAAGAGCAAAAGAGCGAATTTACATTATCAGGTTTGGCAGTTAATATTTGAATATTGTCAGTTAGAGCTTGTATTTATCGAATCATCTAAGCATCTAATTATATTATGTAGTAAGTATTAATAATTTAAAAACTAACATAATAAAAAAATTTCTCCCATACTCACTTTAATATATTTATGTATTTTTTTTAGTTTTTATTAAAACACAATGCAGCTTACTATAGAGCAACATTCCCAAATAATTACGTTGCTTCGAGAGGGATATAGCGCCCGTAACATCGCCACGCGTTATAAAGTTCACCATACGACCATCACAAGACTTAAAAAAATATGAAGAAAACAAATAGTATTAAAAATAAACCTAAATTGGGCCGTCTGCTAAAACTTAATATACGTGATGAATGAACTCTTGTCCGGCGAGTTATGACACGTGAATGTTCAAATGCGATTCAACTACAAAAATTATTATTAATCAATGAAAAAATTAATGTGGCGGTTAATACTATACATAGAGCATTACGTAGACAGGGTATAGTGGCACGAGTTAAAAGAAAAAAGTCATATTTATCTGTCAGACGAATCAAAATTTCAAATATTTGGGTATGACGGACGCCAATACTGCTGGAAAAAAACGAACCATTACAAAGCGCGCACATTCAACCTACAGTCAAGTTTGGTAGTGGTAATATAATGATATGGGGTTGTTTTAATATTAATGCACTGGCTACCTTCATAGGATTGATGAAGTAATGGATGCGCATATTATCAATAGATTCTTTCAAACGTTCTTTTATCATTAGATTTGTATAATTTAACATCTAATGATTTTATTTTTCAGCAGGATAATGATCCTAAACACGTTGCTGGCGAAACATTAAAATGGTTCAAAATCATAATATCGCTATTTTAAAGTGGCCACACAATCCCCCGATCTCAATCCAATTAAAAATTTGTGGCATGATGTTGATTTACGTCTTCGTGCACTTCCGGATGTAATTTCTAATAAAAATGATCTTTAGGAAAGGTTGGAGGAGGTTTGGAACGACACCAAAACAGATCGTTGTTTTGATTTGGTTAACACGATACCGGAGAGGATTAGGGATGTGTTCAAAGCAAAGGGGGAGGGATGGGGGCATATGAAGTGGTGTAATGTTTTTATGTTTTTTTTATTCGATTATATTTGTTTCGAATAAAATTTTATTTGGGAAATGATTTCTGTTTAATAAACGGCAAAAAAAACGCACCATCATTTCTGCGAATTAACGATTATTGCCCATAGTTGGGCATAATAATGTCCGGTCGTTTTTTATAGGTAGCTTAAGTTGTGTTTGCTGATGCGTA